TATGCACTGTGTTTTATAAAATTAATAACCATTGATCTATGCTTACTATTAGCCCATCTTTTCAGGTCCCCACTGGATTTCCCCTACTCCCTTTAGCCCCTCTCTGCCCACAGAACTCTGTTATCCTAGTGATTTCCCTCTTCCTCACCTCCACTCCTTTCCCCCTTTCCCCCTTTTGGACTTTTTCATAAACCATTGTCTGTATCTTTGATAGTTCCTTAAAATTGGGGTCTAATATATTAAGCTGAAATATCTATTTATCTTCAACTAAAATCTTAACCAGAAGAGAAAATGAGTAAAATCTGCTAATGAGAAAATGTTCAAACCCTAAAGAGAATAGTGAGATAGAAAAATTCCCTGTTTGCATTCCTTTAGGGTAACTTGACAAGGTGCTCAGTGAGAGAAACATTTGAAAGTAACTGGGCAAAACACAAGTCAATAATGGCAACCTTCTCTCTTTCATGAAAAGAAGAAATGGTTTGAATGGGATTGCTTGGTGTTAAGACTGCAGAAAGAGAGAACAATAATTGCAAGGCTATTTTTAACTATTTCACATCTCAGGAAAAAATTTAACCACCATAAACTCCTTAATTCTATCCCAAAGTGTGAAGAAGCCAAAACTGAATGGCTCAGGCAACTAAATGTAATATAAATAATCAACAGGTTTTAATGGTTTTTAAATACAATAGCTAAGAAATCAGCTAGAGTTTTCACTAAGGCTAATTCTACTGGGGAAATGAAAATGTTATTTGGGCTCTGCTAGTCTGTGCTTTCCGTATTACCTCAGCACTCCAACAATCAACTGTTCGTGAGGACAAGAGTCAAAGAAAAGGTGCTTCTATTATAATTTGGTTGGAAATGTTCCACAGAAAATTTAGTCAAAGTTTCAACATAATTCCTTACAATGAAACTCCCTATGCATGTGTAAAAGGCAGCTAACTGTTCAAAATAACATCCAGGTAGCACAATTTAGGCAAAACATCCATAAATTTCTCAAGATCAAAATAAACAAGAAATTTTTAAACTTTGGAAGCAACTGAAATTTTCCATAGAATTTAAGCTAAAGATGTTTCATATAGGGATAATCAGTTCATTACTAACATTCAGTGATTGAGTTGAGGAGGTTTTCCAAAAGAAAGTAATTGTACTGAAGAAAACAATTAAGAAAAAATTGCCTTCATTGACCCTTATTTTTTTTTAAAAAAGTTCATATTAATATTAAAGACATTTAGAAAGTATGAGGAATGTCAGCTCAGCATTATCAGTTATGAAAGAAATATTAACCTTTTCAGTTGGCCAAGCTACAACATTCTGTATTGAAAGACTAAGCTTGCCAAATACGGCATGTTATTTTTTTAAACAGGTGTCCAAAAGAATGTCACTTAATCTAACGCCTCTTTGCTTTGGTATATAATACCTCCACTGAGGCCAAGAAATAGAATTATGCTTTGACTAGATCTCGAACTCAACCACAAGCTATTCAAGCTGCATTAGCATTTGAGCACCAGGCAAATATGCTATGTTAATTAGTGTTACATGATCCTGACATGAACTAATCCCTGCTCCTATTAACTTCCCAAGTAAATGAAGCTTTAATGTTTAACTGATAACAAGTGCTAGATAATCCAGAGCAATATAAATTTTATAGATGAAGGAACAGCAAGTGATGGCCATTCATGTTATTAATGTAGTATATATTTATTTCATATGGTAGATGATTATGGCTTGGAAATATATTGTGTTCTACCATTACATTTTAAATAAAGGCAGACAAGGGTAAGCAAACAATTTTATTTTGATCCTTTTAAGTTCTCAATTCTAAATTTAGTTTTCCCAGAAATGCTACTAGTGATGAGTAGAGGTCACCCAATTTAGTAATCAAACAGTGCAGTCAGCAACTGATATGCTTTGACATTATGTCACTACATCTAATAATTACCTGCTTAAAACAGACCCAAAATAACATTAGTGACTCTTCTCACCATGAAAGATATTTTTATTTAGGCTCCTAGTAATTAGTATCCCTAAACACCAGCATTGTTAATTAAAATACCATAAATGATAGAAACAATGTTGGCAATCATATTGTATTTTACTCTTATAAAATATAAACTATAACAATGGAATGCATTGGAAATTTTAAAGTGGTGTTTTACTTGCCGAGATTAAGTAGTACCACGTAGATTTTTACAACATAGCATTTCTATGAAGAAATAACTCTTCCTACAAGTAATATTTCTAGGAAAATGACTCTATCTAAACAGGCACTAGAACTTGTGAACAATCAGAGGGTCTGTAACCATGCATGCTTTGTTGGGAGTATAAACAGTTGCAGTCACAGGAAATAGCAAAACACTATCTGAATCAAAACTTAAAGCTGGCATATACTGGGTACAATGACACAACAGTTACAACTCTACTAATTTTTCTCAGGAAAGAATGATATGAATGACCTACAAAGCACTGCTTCTAATATTTAAAAACTGAAAGCAACTTTAATGTTCATGAATAAAATACTTAGTTAATAACTCAGAGCAAATATCTACAATGTTATCCTATGTGATCATGAAAATCATCAACTGGATTCCTATTTAGCGGTAATGAACTGTGCTGCCAACCTGAAGACACAATGGTCTTCACTAGCTGCTTCATGGGAGAAAGAAGACAATCTCCTGCTGTGTGATTTACTGCCTCTGCAAACCCTCTGGAGGGCCAGCTATGAGACAGTTCTCACTTGATGGGACATCACAATAACAACACTAACAAGAGAAATGCAACCTCATTGTAATTCTAAGTGAAAACTTAAAGGTTTTGAGATATGATGAGTATAATGGTTCCATTACTGTATAACTAGCTTTGTCCCTAGTTTAAGTTTCAAATATACCAGCAGCAAAACAGTTCTTTTCTATCACCCACTACTACATGCTGTTTTCATGATATATTTCTTACTTAATAAAAACTAGGTTTAGTAGAGGGATATGTGTATATGGTTCTTAAATAAAATTTTGAGGCTTTCTAGTCATCATTTGAAATTAAACCTAGAAACACTTTCTTAAACAATAGTTATATAATAAAGGTCAAATGCAATTCTTAATTGCAGATAAATAAAATATGAAGAGTCTGAGTAATCATTTCAAATGATTTTGTTATTGCCATTGAGGCAACCCATCACAAATAGGAAAACTGTACATTTTATGGGGTCTCTGTATCAATATTTATATGTATATTGTTGTCTTATGTACTATGGAGTCAGAGCTGACCCATAGTTAATCCTCTAGCAGGTTTTCAGATGCAGTTTAATTGCATAGGAGGAGACTACCCATTTTTCTCCCACAGAGTAGCTCATGGATTTGAACCATGTGCCTTTGGGTTGAGAGAACAACCCTTTACCACAAAGGCACCAGAGTCCCCTAACCTACACAGTAGTTCTCTCTTATTGAAATTTTTGCTCTCAGTGGTTTCATTTACTCATGATCAACTATGGTTAAAAAAATATTAAATGGAAAGTTCCTGAAATGAACAACTTTCATACTATGCTGAGTAGCAAGATAAAATTTTGCAATGTTCTGCTTCTTCCAGACTTGGACATGAATCAGCCCTTTGTTCAGTTAGTAACTATCTCAGTTATCAGACTGACAGTCACTGCAGAGCTTGTGCTCAAGTAATCCTTACAATACTTAATAATTGTATTGTTTTTTTATTCATTAATGTTGTTAACCTCTTAAAATGCCTAAGTGGTCAGTTAAACTTTATCATAAATCTGTATGTATAGAAAAAACCTAGTATATCTAGTGCTCAGTACTATTTATAGTTGCAGTCATCCACTGCGGAGTCATGGGATGTATCTCCCACAAACAAAGGGGCTCTTGTGGCACAGTTTGTAGGGAGTTGCACTGATTTTTAGGTTATTTATATATATATACACACACACACCGTTTAGAAGTAAAGAGTAAAGTTATTCCTTCCAAAGTGTCTCTGACTGGATTTGGACTTCCAATCTTTCAATTAGCAGCTGAGCATGGCATCCATTTGTAATACACAGGGACTTTCTAGGTTTTTTCATAGAGACAAAAATATTAGGCAGGTATACTCTTTTAAAATATATATGTCATTTTTATGTACAATCAAGTCAGAAATGATCTATGGCCAAACAGCAGCAGTAAATCACAAAGGAGAAGACTCTTCATCTTTCTCCCACAGAGCAGCTAATGGATTCTACTGCCTGTTTTTCGGCTGGCAGTGCAATTACTTCCCACTAGGCTACCGGATACCTCTATATGTGTGCATACATGTATACATGTGTGTGCAATGTATGTACCTAGCAAATGTTTTAAAAAATATTTTTCTACTCATTTCTCCCTCACTTCTCATCTCTGTTAATTCACTAAGATGGATTCTATATGCATGTAAACCTTTTCTTAGTGTTTCTCTTAGTAGTATTATATGAATAATTGTCCTTTTGTGACTGATTCATGTCACTCAGAAACATACCCAAGGACTTTCAAACTAAAACTCCTTGCCACTGAGTTGGTTCCAATTCACAGTGACACCGCTGAATTACTGAGACTATAAATATTTAATAAAGGGAGTATTGTGCAGAGCATCTGGGGGATTGAAAACACCAACTTTTCTATTAGTAGTGCAACACCTAAGATACTATGCCATCCAGGGAGTTAGAAAGATTTAAAAATACATTTTTATTTTTTTCTCTAAGGCTCAAGTTCTTCTGTATGTCACCAGTCAATTTTCTTTGAAGTCAAAGACCTCATTTTCATAATTTATAAAGTTAGGATAAAAAAGTTTCAAGATCCTTTTAAGTTTTGAATAGATTCTAAAATTACATGCTCATCTTTACACCTCAATGATTATACAGAAATACAGAAATATTATTTTCACTAATGAAATTTTAAATCTTTTCACAGGAAGTGTTGAAAAGGTCAACATTGGTATTAAGTACCTTAAAGAAAATGAAAAGAAAAAAAAAAAGTCCAGCCACTCACCTGATGACCTGGTTACAGTGGGCACACATTGGGGTCCGTTTCCCGGCTGGGATGTGCTCAGCTCTCTGCACTAAAGTGTCCTGGTCACTTGGTTGCTCCACAGATGAGTTGGTGGGGGCCACTGCTCCGGAGGAAGCGGCACTGTTTGAGACTCTTCCAGTGGATACAGCTAGGAGTTAGAGCACAGAAGAATTGGCACGATGGAAACATTTTCTAATAATTGAATAATATTTTTTTATAAAAACTATTAACTCTATTGCTCATATTTTATGGGCAAGCTTATGCCACAAAACACTGAGCTGTGGCTACAGAAAAGGACAGGAAAAAACAGATTCCAAGACCAAGAAAAGAATCCTGACAGATACACCAATAGGTGTTGTAAAAAAAAAAAAAAGAACACGACCTCTGCTTAGAAGAAGAGATTGTGGTTAGGGTGAATGCCGAAGTATTTATAGGCATCTAGATATACCTTTTAAGCATTTAATTATAACTTGAAAGTATACCAATAGTACATTAAATATCTCAATGTGTTAAAAAAACAAAACCAAAAGTGAACTCATTATGCCTTCTTTCTTCCTATATTCTCCAAGCAGAGGGGTATGAGTCATCTGATCTAGAACATAAAGTTACTACCTAAGTATCAGGGAGCTCTGGTGGTACAATCCACTGTGAGTTACACTGGTAATCCAAAGAATTCAAATCCACCAGCTGCTCCACAGGAGAAAGGTGGGCAATCTCTTCTCTGTGACTAATTGCCAACTGCCTCTGAAAAGTGCTGGAGGGTCAGTTCTGACTTCATGGTACAACAATTACCTCTCTCTCTTCTATCTCTCTCTCTCTCTGGAATTGGTGCTGGTGGCCTAGTGGTAACGAATTGTCTGTCAACACAAAGGTAGGTGGTGGTTTGACTCTTTAGCTGCTCTGCAGAAAAAAAGATGACCAATTTCCTCCGATGTGAAAATGTGTTGAAGTTGTAGATGTTGAGCTCTGGTAGCCTAATGGGTAAGGGGTCGTGCTGCCAACTCAAAGGCAGGCAACTGGAGTCCACCAGGAGAAAGATGAGCTATTTCCTCCCATGAAAATTACTGCCTCTGAAAACCCACTAGAGTGTCAGCCATGAGTTGGTTCTGACTTGATTTTCATATAACAACTATATATCTATGAATAAATATATTGACACAATCCACATAAAGGGCATGCGATAAACTGGGTAAGTTTAAGATAATCATCCTTAATCAGGTAAAGCCCATTTGCAATGGTGTGCAACTAGACTGAGTACATCTCTTAAAGTTCCCTAACAGGCACTTGATTTAAGAAACGACAATTTACAGGCCAAGCAGCTCTATTACTGCCCATGTTTGAAGTAAGTCAACTGGATTAGGAGCATGTTTCCATTCTTCAAGTTGTGCTTTCTTTTTTATTTTTTTAATTTTTTTTAAGTTGTGCTTTCTATTAAAGAAAAAGGACTGAAAAATACTGTACTGCTTATTTTATACATTCTTATCCTTGTGACTTCATTTATTCTTATCTGTGAGTTCTCCATTTCTACATGTAGACTTGATTTCTTCTAGAGCACCAGTGATGAATTTCCAAAACCATTTTCAATGCTAAACATCCTATTGCTTTTAAACTCAAGACATCTTGAATGAAATTCTCTCACACACATTAGCTCTTTCTAAATGTTCCTTAAGTCTGTCCCACTCAAATTTCAAAACCATCTCAGGAACAGATTTGAGGCCTTGAGCACCAATGAGCGTAGACCAAATGAGCTCTGGGAGGATATCAAGAAAATCATCCATGAAGAATGTAAAAGATCATTACAAAGGCTGAAGAAGAAGAAAAGATCAATATGGATGTCAGCTGGGACTCAGAGTATTGCATTAGAGCACCAAAAAGCCAAAGCTAAAGGAAGAAATCAAGAAATAAAAAAGCTGAACAGAAAATTTCAAAAGGCAGTTCAGGACGAGAAAGCAAAATACTACAATGAAATGTGCAGAGAGCTGGAGTAAAAAAATCAAAAGGGCTGACACTGAGAAGAATGTGAATCCCAGAACATTTAATTGTGCTAATGCAAAACCTATACTTGGACCAAGAGGCTTCTATATGGATTGAAGCTCAACATCAAGAAAACAACGATTCTCACCACTGTGCCAATTGGCAGCATCAGTATGGATGGTGAAGAGATTGAGATAGTTAACAGTTTTCGTTTACTTGGTTCCACAGTCAACACTCTTGGTAACAGCAGCCAGGAAATCAGGAGACGGATTGCATTGGGAAAGTCAGCTGTGAGGGTCCTCTCAAGAGTACTGAAGAGTAACGACATCAGGCTGGAGACTAAGGTGTGCCTGATCCAGGCTACAGTCTTCGTAATTATGTGCTATGCACTGGAGAGTTGGACAGTGAATACGGATGATAGAAAGAGAATTGATGCCTTTGAGCTGTAGTGCTGGAGAAGAGTGCTGAATATACCATGGACTGCTAGGAGAACAAACAGGTTTGTCCTGGAGAGGGTGAAGCCAGAATACTCCTTGGAGTCAAGGATTCTTTTAAAAACTTTATTGTGAGCAAAAAGTCCTGGCTTGAGGTTTTTAGTCTAAAGGTAGCTTTTCAGGACACAGATGAGGAAAGGCATGGTGACACATGAGCTTTTTCTGGGGACAATACAGGGCTGGGCCTGGGGCTGGGACTTGAAGCTTCAGCCCTCTGGGTACCAGGAAAGTCAGGGGGCCCAGAGAAGATCCAATGCCTGACTTACCACCTCATTAGGGAGGAGGAGAGGGAGGCCCAGGCCACTCCGAAACTGGAGTGTAGGCACTATTTAGAGAGACTCCCCAAGGTTTAGAAGGAGGGCTCCTCTCTGGAGACATTCCGGGTCCTTAGTACCATTTCTGCCCATCCTGAGAATGGCTGAAGCATGGACAATGATGGATCCTTAAACAGTAGGTAAGAACAGGATGGGGCAGGGATAAGGGACAACTTCAGGGTGTGAGTTCAGCTTTCCATTTTTGCAGCTTCTCATCCATGGCCTGGAGTGTGGCTTCATCCTTTACAAAGCAGAAGCGGATGTAGTGGTCAAAGAGCTTCTGATGTGGTACACTGTAGAAGACGGAGACTGGCATGGCCATCAAACCCTTGTTCTTGATCATCCACTTGATGAAGCGACTGTCATAGGCCTCATCTTCAGCACCAGGCAAGTCTGGCATCTTGCTCTTGAAGTCTGAGATGTCTGTGACAAGGAAGTAGCTACCCTGGGAGATGATGGGCCGCAGCCCCACCGACTGTAGGCTGTGTACCATGTGGTCCCTTTTGTGCTGGGTGGCCTCTGGGAGCTGGACAAAACAGCTGCTGGGCTCGCCGAAGTGCTGCTGCTCCCGCTCAAAGCTCCAGGCCACTGCAGCCTGGGTCTGTGTGGGACAGTGAAACACCGAGTTCTGGTGCACAATCTTCAGGTGCTTCATGAGATGATCTGGGCTGAGGGCCCAGCCCACCTTCCAGCCGGTGGCACTAAACGTCTTGCCAGCACTGCCGATGGTCAGGGTGCGTTCCCACATCCCAGGAAGACTGGTGATGCTTATGTGCTGGTTCCCGTCAAAGACCAGCCACTGGTAGACCTCATCACTGATGCACACCATGTCATGCTGCTGGCACAAGCTGGCCACCAGCTCCAGTTCTGCCTTGGAGAAGACCTTTCCCAGAGGGTTGTTGGCTGTGTGGAGGATCAAGACTTTGGTGCGAGATGTAAATTTGCTGGCCAACTCTGTAGGGTCTAGGTGCCAGTTGCTGCTGGAATCCAGTTCCCCATTATTGGAGGGGCTCAACTTCAGGGGCATAAATACAGGGTGACCTCCAGCCATCAATGTCAAGGGCTCATAACAGTCAAAAAAGGGTTCAGTGATGATGACCTCATCTCCTTCATCCACCAAGGCTTGGAAAGCTGTGAACAGGGCTCCATAAGCACCCACAGTCACCAGCACATTCTTGAGGGGGTCCATTTCCTGCCCCAGCAGCTTCCCAAAGAAGCTTGCCAGGACCTTTGTCAGTGGTGGGTGTCCCCAAACCTTTGTCGCTTCACCTCCTGTCCCCACTGTGTCCCAGAGGTTACCGTCGTCCTTGTCCCTTTAAGGGAGCCGAACCCGGGATCCGCTCCTTCCGCCCCGCAGCAACATGGCGTCTAAGGGGCCTGGCGAGGGATGGTGTGGAGCGCGAGTCCCCTTCAAAGATGGTGACGCCCTCGCCGCCGCGTTCGCGCGCCTGGAGTCAAGGATTCTGAAGCTTCGTCTGACATACTTTGGGCATGTTGCAAGGAGGATCTGGTCCTTGGAGGAGATATCATGTTTGGGAGAGTGGAGGGATGGCGCAGGAGAGGAAGACCCTTGATGAGATGGATGATCCTGTGAGTGGAGTGGTGGGAATGAGTGTGTTTGAGATGGTGAGGTTGGCATAGCATAGAACGGCATTTAGGGCTCATGTATATACGGTCACTATGAGCAAGTGACTCGATGGCACATAACAAAAACAACAAATGTTCCTAAGTTTGAAATTTCAAACTTACCCAGACATGGTACTCTGGCTCCCATGTCACTGACTGCCAATCCCCAGGCCCTAACAGTAGTTTCACAGTAAATAATTCCTAGATCTGTTCTTTCTTCCTAATTCAAAATTATTACCCTACCGTATCTGAGTACCAATCTTAAATCCCTCAAGCCTCAAGATTATCCCAACAGCTTATTTATCAACCTCTCTGTACCTCTTCTATAAACTATTCTATGCTATTTTTCCAAAACCATAAGTCTGACCATTATTTCACTACTTGTAAGATTTAAATGTCCCATGCAATTTACTGCCTCTGAACACCTGCTAGAGGGTCAGCTATGGGTCAGTTCAGACTTGCCAGTACACAACAAGAATCAATAACATTATTCAGTTATGTAGAAAATATACCAGACTAAGATTTTAAAATGATCATTTATTTATAATAAAAACTAGGGGCTGTTTTGTCTTTTTTCATTTAACATGCCTCTGGAAACTATGAACTTTGATAAATGTTGATAGTTGTAGAGGGGTTTCAGGCCTTATGTTCATAGGGTCACTATGAGTTGTGCTTGACTCGAAGGCAATCAACAACAACAACAACATTTATCTAAAACTTTTGGTGGTAGCACTGCATATAGGCCCCTACCATACTTGAGTTGTGCATGCCTGTCCAAACACATACCTATGCATATGACATTAAAATAATTAATAAGAAAGCAGGCATAACAATGAGATTATTAAGCCAAAATCAGTCTTCTGCCGTTGAGTTGATTCTGACTCAGAGTGATCTCCCGATAGGTTTATGAGTCGGTAATTTTTTTACAGAACGAGACTTTTTCCTACAAAACAGCTGGTAAATTTGAACTGCTAAACTCTTGATTAGGAGACTAATACATTATGCCATTGGGATAACTGCTCTGTGCCATTGGGGTTCCTTTAATGAGAATCTTAGACGGATGCTATTTAGTACCTGACTGAAGTTCTTGTTTGGTGCTTTCATGGCATATTATTGTTTGAAGCGCATTGAGTTGCTCACAACTCAGAGCAACCCTATGAACAACAGATCTAATCTTTGTTTTAGCCTGTGTCATCTTCATGAACAACATGCTGGTTGTTGTTATGTGCCGTCGAGTCGTTTGAGACTCATAGCGACCCTATGTACAACAGCCCTAAAACGTGCTCTGTCCTGTGCCAATCTCATTGCCTCTGACACACCCATCCCAATTACCCCAGTCACTGAATCAATCCACCTCATAGAGGGTCTTCCCCTCCTGCGCTGTCCCTCCACTCTGCCCAGCATGATGTCCCTCTCTAAGGACCTGTCTCTCCTTACAACATGTCCAAAGTATGTCAGACGAAGCCCCAGAATCCTTGCCTCCAAGGACCAGCCTGGTTTAATCCTCTCTACGATGAATCTGTTTGTTTTCCTGGCAGTCCATGGTACATTCAATACTCTTCTCCAGCACCACAGCTCAAAGGCGTCAGTTCTCCTTCTATCCTCCCTAGTCGTTGTTCAACTCTCTGATGCATAACAAGTAATTGCAAAAACCATGGCCTGTATCAGGTGGACCTTGGTCTCCAGAGAGACACTGTTGCTCTTGAGTATTTTGGAGAGGTCCCTAACCGCAGACTTTCCCATCACAATACATTTTTTGATTTCCTGGCTACTGGTGCCAAGAGTGTTGACCGTGGAGTCAAGCAAACTGAAGCTGTGAACAATCTCAATCTCTTCGCCATCCATCCTGATGCTGGTTATCATGTATTTATTCTGCCTTTAGAGTGGAGTTAGTAGGAAGGTACTACTCCACTTTCAATGTGAGCTCTCACCTGTGTACAGGTGGTGGCTTCTACAATCTGTGAAGAAAATAGGCCTCATCTCATCAACTCTAGCACCACAGATCCCTCCTTGGGGGTTGTGGAGTAGAGTACTGAATAACTCATCAACTGCCAAAAGAACAGATAAGTCTTACAGAGAGAGTACAGCCAGAACGCTCTTTAGAAGCAAAGATGACAAAGCTTCATCTGACATACTTTGAGTATGTTGCTAGAAGATGATATTCTGTGGACAGGGAAATCATAAAAAGAGAAAGAGAGCAAACTCTCTATGAGGTGGAATGACATATGACTGCAGCAATGAGTTCAAGCGATGAGTCCATCATCAGGGGTTGAAGGTGGGTTCATCATCCATGGGTTCCAGATGATGAGAATGGCATAGATAGCATAGGTTCCACCGCTGATATTCACAGGATTGCTATGAGTAGTATTCAACTCAATGGCACCTAACAACAATTGTATGAAAATCTTTATTATGATAACAGACTTATCTAAAATGTCATTTAAAATACCCTCTATTACAGAAAACACATGGTTTCAAATAATTCAAAGGGGAAAAGAAAATCATATATAGTATTGAAGGAGTAAAATCTTACTAATGATCAATTTCCATAAAACTTCTGTGGGCAATTTGTACCCTACTGGACTATGCTTGAAAAATACTTTTAACATTTTCTTAAAATAATAATAATTTTAAAAAGCCAGCACTAGAAAACTCTTAAGGAAATTCAAAGCCACTTGCTATTTTCCCAGCCAACAATATGGGTAAGAACCTCTTTAACTGTTAATTGAAGGCATAAGTCTTGCCAGTCACTAATCTATTGATTATCAAGTTTATTCAAATAACTTTGCACTAATGGGCTACATAACTGCATTTTAACAGATTATATGGTATTTTAATACTGCAGTAGTAATTCCATTATAATATTATGCACGATAAAATGTTTAAATAGGTAAGGAAGCAGAAATTAATTAAGATTATAATAAAATAATCAAACATAATTAATGGGAAAATTTGGCAACACAGTGGACTATTTTTTCAGTACATAATATATACCAAATTCAATGAATCAATTCTTTTGAATCAATTCTTACCACAATCCTCCAATGGGTTCCTAAGGTTGTAAATTTTAAAAGGAGCAAACTACTTTATTGCTCTCCACTGGAGTGACTGCCAAGTTTGAATTGCTGGTCTTTTGGTCAGCAGCCCAGTATGTAATCCACTACCTAACCAGGGCTCCTTATAGAATATATGAACTTGTGAAATTACACAAGTACAACTGGCACCGACTTGCTGTTTTGAAAATATTTCACAGTGATATACCTGAGAATTTGAAGGGGTAAAAGTTTTTTTAATTCAAATCTGTAAGTTACTAAATATGAAATTTAATTACTACAAAGGAAAAATATTTGGCTACAGACTATTAGTTGGAGATTAAAAATTTTAAATAATTTAATTACATAATATTCATTAATTTCACGGAAAACTTAACTCCTTACTAAGGAGATCATTGGGATATAGTGAAAATTTTAATCTATGAAGAATTTTTTAACAGAAAATTTTTTTTAAAGATTCAGGTTTGAATTATTGATCAAATTAGTTAATGGGAGTATTAAGCAATCTTATTTTGCAATTTAATTTTCTTTGCTAATCACCAACTCGATGGCACTTAACAACAACAGCATAGAGAGAGTTCAGTTGGCCTAATGGACAGAAAGTGATGCTCCCAAGCCAAAGGTGGGTGACTCTAATCCATGTCTCTCGGGCCTGACTTTTATTGTTTTTGGTGAAACATTACTCTGGGTCGTAAAACCCTGTTCTGTCCACTTGCTGTAGAGGCAACTCGTGGCTGCTGTGAAGCTGAATACTGTGCGAGAATGGTTACCCATGGTGGACAGTGTTTGGGGGAGCTCCCCGATTAAAACAAGCTTGGAAGCAGGAGTGGCACCACTTCTGTAATAGCTTGCCTTTGTAAACCCTATGAACCTGGAGAAAGGATGAAAGTTATACAGGATGTGTCCAGGTCTTTTGTTCACAGGGTCGCCATGACCATGAGTTGCCTCTGACTCGACGTCACTTAACAACAACAACAACAACAACAATCACTGTAGGGCGGTTCTGGAGGTCCTCAGCTGCCAAGACAAAGTTTTGAAGTTTGATTCAATTAGTTGCTTTGCAGGAAAAAGATGGGCAAACTCCTCCTGAGCTACTTACTGACTCTGAACACTTGCTGGAAGATCAGTTAAGAGTTGGCTCTAACTTGACAAAAAGAGTTTTGTACTGATGATAAGTACTTGAAAAAACTGTGCAGCACTTTGTCAAAATTAACTTAAAATCTAAAGAACTGTATCCCAAAGAGCAAAATTAAACAATAGGCATTACTAAGTATCTTTCTAAGTGTGCTACTATCATTTAAATACAGTGCTTTTGCATTGCTTGGTGTTTCATTCAATATGGGATTACATCTCTAGCCAATATTAATTCTTCATTGAATTATGATGACTTCTCACCACCTCTCACCATATCCTAGTCTAAGCTACAACCATCTCTTGCCTGAATTGATTACACTACCTTTGCTATCAACATGGAAGCCAGTAAAAACCTAAACTAAATCTGATCATGATATGCCTCTGTTCAAAATGTTTTATCTAAAAGCTCTTTTGTCATTCATAACTAAAATCAAAGATCCTAAATAGAATGTAACACCTGCACTTCTCTCATCTTATCTTCCCTTTGCTTACTATTATACTATTTCATTGCTATTAAATTGAAATTGACTTGTAGCTGACTCTCCAGAAGGCTTTTTGGAGGCTGTAGCTCACATGGGAGAGGATACCCATCTTTTTGTTGTAGAGCCACTCGTGGATTCGACCTGTCAGGTGAG